ATCATGTTGTTTCTTCATTTTGAGTATGGGAAGAACGATCAGAACAAGTCAATAGGAACTTTCTATACAACTTTTGTAGAACTTTTGACGGCACATCTTTTAAAAAATAAACCAAGATTTTATGATTTTCTCAAGTCGAGATATATGCGAAATAAAAAATGTTGCAAAACTTTTGAAACACCCGGTATCCATAAAACAAGAGTCAAAAGTCGCTCTATTGGCAACCAAAATTCTCTGTCAGGCTTCATTTTATATATTTTACCCTGTTTTTGGTTTAAAAGAACGCATCAGCCAGTATTGCTTACCAGAACCATTATCTTTCTTTCTTACTTTTTAAGCCGGAACAAGGATAACCAATTCTATATCTCGAAAAACTCTCAAAAAATGACACTGTAGCTATAAAAGTACCCTTTTATATAATGGTAACAAAGCTTATTAAAAAAAAGGACTGTGATAGATACAGCAACTAGACACAGTCACTAAAGCAAAAAAATGTATAAGAATGAGGGTCCACAGAGTAATCTGAAAAGTGCCATCAGTTGCGATTGGTAGGATGCTTTAAGCATGGTCAATTTTCGAGTCACAAATATGATTGCCGACTATTTTAAACTGCAAAGATCTTCAACATTAGCAGGAGACAACTGATTCTATTGTATGCCGTGGAAAAACAACTTAAGTACTCAATGGCAATCATCCACAACCATCGACAATCAAAGCAATCAGACAATCAGCTTTTCCCCCCTTGAATATTTCTATGTTTCTTGTTCGCGTTGGATTATTGTTTTACTTTGTGTTTTGTATGAAATGTCGAAGTTAAGCATTTTAAAACTTGAAGATAAGTCGTTCTGTATAATTTACGTCTTGCATGTTATTATTCTTAATTATTATGTCATTGCATAAATTTTTGAATGATGTGTAAATTATAAAATGATCTCATATATGACTGAGAAAATATGTTTGGTTCATTTTTTTCTCTTTAATATTTGTCTCTTGTTCCTTCCTGTTTTTTTCTCGATATCACACATGTGCTCAAAAGCGTGTCTAATCAAGGTCAGGTGTAGGTGGATCGATATTCATATTACTTCTTGCTGACTTTTCTTTCCTCTTTCCTTTTGCTATCATACCAATTGCTCTCTTTCTTGCTCTCTCCTATATGAGTGTGTATTGAATACGAACTAGTCATATTCTGAAGATATTAAGTATATGAGAAAAACATCAAAATAGAGAGAAATAGTAAGTCACTCCTTCCATTTTCCTTTATAAGATTGTCTATGATTAAGACATGTTTTCGCCAAGAATCGATCTACCATCATTTGTATACTCAGCGTTTTGTGTAAGGTAAGAAAAAAAAATATTTTCAAAAATTGTTCAGAAGAACGAAACGAAAATGTTTCGCACAGTTTACATAAGAAGTTATTTCGAAAAAAGAACGGCATTCTCTAAGTTTCAAAACTTTCTCAACCTAACAAAAGCGTTCACGAAAGTAGACAACAACTTTTATCTGATCACCAGCACATGTTCCATCAAATTCTAGGTTACAAAAAAAGAACTCAATAAACGTTTCAATTTAAAAAATTCAGTTGTGAACGTCCTACTATACATAATTTGTTTTGTTTAGTAGTTGAAATCACGGAATCACATTTGATATCTCATCTACGAATGGGCACAATACCAAGAATACTTCACGATAAAGAATACATACAGAAATATAGTGAGTAAAAAAAAAACCAAGCAAATGATAGTCATAAACAAGATATATTTCATCAAAGATGTAGTTAGTTAGTCTAAAATATAGAAAACATCTGTAAAGTATCTGCCTTATATTTATTCAATTGAAAAACATAGCCTAAAATGTACTTGTCTCGAATTGGATGACTAAAATTACAATAAGTTCAGATAGTTACATTATTTTAAGATGTATTCGATTATCGGAAAACATCTATTGAAGAAATGAAGTCTATTAATAAAACGAATTTTTCATTGACAATATGGCGTTTTATGCAATTTTTATTTGTTATTCTAATAATAACTGCTATTATTTCAAATATTTTAACAATCAAATTCGACGCATATTCATTTTCTGTTACTTTTAAATATCAATTCGCTTCAAAAAGAATTATTTCACAAAAAAATACGATATACTGTATGGTATACGTAAATGATAATTCTGGTCGTCTTGGTAATCGAATGTTTGTGGCCGCTAGTGCTTATGGTCTTGCTCGTCTTCATTCTTGTCATTTGTATTTATCACCAGATATAACCAAAAATATGAATGAGATATTCATTCTTGATCTTTCTCCTTTTCTTATTTCAACAACTATGTTCAACTCAATCATTCACAATACTTCAGATTCAATCACTAAAATAACTAAGAGCGTTGGTTGTCATTATGTTCGTGAATTAACACGTCCAAATGCAATTTCACCAGGACATATATTCGAATTAACAGGTTATTGGCAATCATATCTACATTTTGCTAAATATAGTGAAGATATTCGAGAACGTATATTTGCCGCAAGACAACATATACTTGAGAAAGTCTCGAGGTTATTCATCGAAATTTATGAACTAAAGTTTGATTTCAAACCTCAATTCTCATTAGAAAATCATCAATTATTTAAAAAACAACTAGCCCAATCAAATTGGACAACGTGGGTTGGAATTCATGTACGTCGTGACGACTTTGT